CAGACAAGTAGTTCTGCACGAACACGCAACTGGCTTGATAGATCCTAACCTTTTACTTTAACCATGGAGGTCAGTTATTAACAGACGAGTTTACCAGTGTATTTTCACGCAAAGAATAAATCATTCATTAAACAAGGTAAGAAATTAACTACATTATATCAGATGGAAAGGCTGAAAGACTTTATTACAAACACTTAATAGATTCAAAAGATTCAAAATCATACTCTCTCTTATCCCAGCAATATCCTTACAAATACCAAATCACTAGTGAAGATTTAACACTAGCTCTGCATCACTAGCTGTACTTCTGGTAAATTTCTGTGCATTGACTAAATGCTTTAACTTTACCTGATATCTCTCCAAAGATACACAAAACAAACTACAAACTAAACACACTATTATTTTAACTTCACAGCAAACACAATTTCCCTAAACTCAGTTTCCAGCAATTTTGCAGGATTTCTTATCAGGGAGTCTAGCACTCCTACCTCATATCTCTGGGGCACACACATAGAAACAGACTGACTCCTTTCTGGATTTTTCTGTGTTCCTGTGTCTCCATAGGCCCTATTGCTAATCAATAACAGTTTTTTTTCTGGTATCTGATGTTCTGCCTACTTTGTGTGAGCTTGTCTCATGTCTATTTATCTTATGAGATTAATAAGCTCTGTTTCTCATCTGGGGAAAAAAATTGTCCTTCTCTTCCCAAGTTTTGCCTGTGATTTTATCTGCTCTCTGCTTCCAAAACAATTTGAAGAGATTTTTTCAAAGTCAAATCTTCTTTGCATTGTAATACATCTGACAAAGACTGACCAAAAATTCCTCTGACAGTTGTGTCTCTTATAACTGACCCATCTCCTGCACTTCAGCTCTCACCCTCCCCTTCTCTCCCAAAACAGCGGTAGGGCTCCCCTTGTCCTTACCTACCATCCCACCAGCATCCATATCCAGAGGATCATTAGTAAGATGCCACCATCAGACACATATTCCCCTCCCCTCCCCTCCCTCGTCAGCCTTCCGCAGGGACCGTTGCCTCTGGGACATCCTGATCCATATTTTCCTCAATCCCAGCACCCCGTCCTCTGCAACTGCAGAAGGTGTAACACCTTTCCGTTTACTTCCTCCCTCCTCTAATATCCAAGGGCCCAAACACACCTTTCGGGTGAAGGAGCACTTTACCTGTGCTTCACACAATCTAGTCTACTTCATTCGCTGCTCACAATGTGGTCTCCTCTACATGGGAGGAACGAAGCTTAGACTGGGTGACTGCTTCACAGAACACCTACATTCTGTCTGCAAAAAAGCTCCTGAGTTTCCAGTTTCAGGCCACTTTAACACACCACCCTGTTCCCTGGCCAACATCTCTGTCTCAGGTTTGTTTTAGTGCTCCAGCGAAGCTCAGCACAAGCTGGAAGAAGAGCACCTCATTTTCTGCTTGGGAACCCTACAGCCTTCTAGCCTTCAACAATTTTAGGATTTGAGCTCTCCTATATCCTTACCCCAACCTCAACACACCAGGCCTTGATTTCAGTTCTGACAAAAGGTCACTCAACTTGAAATGTTAACTCTGATTTCCCTCCACAGATGCTGAGCTTCTCCAGCAATTTCTGTTTTTGGTTCTCTTTTGAATTCTGATCCCAAGGTTCCAAACTCTCAGATGTTATGAAGATGTTTTATATTAAGGATTGTGGAAAATAGAATTGGTTTCAAGTTTTGTAGATATATCTAGAGTAGTTCCTCTAAAAGAAGCAATTGAAAGTTCACAACATACTAGAAATCACCAATGATAACTGATTACTTGGCTGTGGAACCTGCTGGGGCTGGTTTGAACAGTCATTGCTTTGATGAGATGTTTGTTTTATCTAGTTCATTTGCAGGGAAATCTGCCAAGAACAAGCAGAGTTGGAGGAAAACTTGCCATAAACTAATTGTCCAGCTGATTTCTCCCTGTTTCTGAAAACATAATTCTCAACAATAGTTCGGGGTAAAACTTAATTGTTCTTTTGAAAAAAAAGGTGATTGAAAGAACATTTCAGCACTGTATTCCTAAGCAAGCTCTGAATTAAAAGCTTTTTTGAAGAAGACAGTAGAAGTATAAAACCAATTCTGCAGTCTCATTCTTAACAATAAATCAGGCTCTATTGACATCGGCAGCGAACAATCTTGGTGGTATTGCTTTGTTGTTGATCCTGACTTTATCTATTCACAAAGGAGCTAATTTGACAGACCATTAAAAATGTTGCAAAACCTCCAGTTAGAAATCCTTGTTCAAACCAACCTCCTATTTAATAAAATGGTCCATGGTCTTCCAATATAGCTGCAAATTTATTGGATGTTCCTGTACCAACTTAGAACTTTTCAGCAACTACAAATCTATTGAGAGTTATTTCATTCTAGTATTGGGTTTCATGACCTACCTGTGACGAAAACAATTGCTGGCTTAATTACATCAATGGTCTCTGTGCAAAATGTCTTAAAATCAGGGGTTCTTTGGGGATCTACGAACCTACTGATATGGAGGTCGGACACCTGAGCAGAAAAACATCTTTCAGTTAAATCGACCATCAACTTTTAAAAGAGATGTTTAATAAAATCAGCATAAATAAAACCTGATCTTTGATCACCTTCTTAAATGAATAACATAGAATATCAGCCTTTGCCTCGAGGTGTGTAATTCTACCCTTAAATTTTTCCAAACAGTTTATACATGATAGTAATCTGCACATAATATTTCATTACTGTACCCTTTTGCATCACAAAACTACATGCAGAATAACTCTTTGAATTTACAAATTCCTCCAGGATTTAGGGCAGGACTAATGCCCAAACAAGTGCAAAGCTCCAGGTGAGCTGACATTTTTTTTACATAAACTGTACTGTTTACAATGCAGACATTGCTGAGCGAACACATGCGTTTCTACATGTTCCGCAAGAAACAATTTTCGTCTCTGTATTAGAGGGACTTGTGGTTCTCGTCAGGAGATCATTCTGAACATCGGACTGTTCCAGGAATTTGTCTGCAAGCATAGGCGTTGCTTAAAAACAAAAGGAAACAGCAAAAAATTATTCCATTCCAGCCGGGGCCTGCATCGATTCCTCCTGCACCTGTCCTGTAAACGGGGGCGGTCCAGAGACAGAAAGTTGTCATGGTTTAAAACGGTTTCGTTCATTTTAAATTTCAAAGACATTTCATACATTGGGCGAATTTACCCGTTCACATTGCAACCGATCTTGTGATATTTCTTACACACAATTAATCTATACAGTGTGGTATATAGACGGAAGAAGAAAGCCAGAGATGGCTTAAATAGATGTTCATTCATGCTAAAGCAGACCAGGTTTAGTCCCCTGTGTATCTCCTGCCTCCACCCCCGGTAATGATAGGGAAGGGAGGCAAAGAGAGAGCTCAGGTGAGTGAGCTCCAGGTGGGCACAGTGACTCCCTCACCCACTCCTTCTCCGAGCCGGTGAGTAAGTAAGTGAGTGAGGCCCGCCGACCTTTTTACCTGCAGAAACCAGAAGAGGTTGTCCGTGCCCCGACCCGGGTAAGGAGGCTGGCCATCTCGCGGGTGCGGCTCCCGGTTGAGAGCGGGCTGCACGGTGTAGTTCTCCAGGACGTAGGCGGTGAGGCAGGCCAGCACCAGGCCGGCCGCAATCACCAGGCTGAAGACGCGGAACATCCCGGATTAGGGGCCAACACGCTCCCTGACAACAATCTCACTTCCGGACATCCACTAACGACAATACAGCGAAGCAGGCCAAGAGATACCCCTGCTGACGCACCGGCGGGTGGGGGTTGGGTCTGTTGTCTTGGCAATGATGGACCTGGGAGACTGCAGACCTTGGGAGCACAGAGGTAATGATGAGATTTAATAAAGGTTTTCCAACAAGAAGAAACTGCTTCCATGACAGTTGGGTCAATATAATAAACAGTGTAGAAAGGTAGTTGGCACAAGGTGCAGAGAAAGGGGAGGTGAGGAGCTTTTCTTTCTTGCTTAATAAGTTGCCCTGACTTGGAATACGTTTCTTGGAAGGATATTGGAAGCACATTCAATAACAACTTTCGAAAGACAATGTTTGAAAAGGAAGTATTTACACAGCTACTGAGAGCAAGTGGGGTGAGGGTCTTGTTGGGATGTTTGGGGCCAACTTAACAACTCTTTTAAAGCGCCAATATTCTAGTAGATACCGGGAAAATGAAAACACAGGATGGGTTACACCAGAGAGAAATGAAAGAAAGAGCGATTTTCATTTGTATTGCATCGGGATCACAGAACTTTACAGCCAATGAAGTCCAGTAATCATCCTAACGTAGGAATTGAAACAACAAATTTGCAGTTAGCAAAATTCCACAAACATAATAAATGACCAGATTTTGTATGGTGATGATGTTATTTTTGGGATTATTATTGACCAGAACACCAGGAATTCTCCTTGCTGTTCTTGGCAAGACAGTACTGCATCACAGCGCCAGGGACCCGGGTTTGATCCCAGCCTTGTGTGACTGTCTGAGTGCAGTTTGCATGTTTTCCCATGTCTGCGGGGCTTTCTGTTGGGTGCTCTGGTTTCCTCCCACAATCCACAGATGTGCAGTTTATGTGGATTGGCTATGCTGAATTGCCCCATATTGTCCAGGGATTTGCAGGCTAGGTGGATTAGTAAATGCAGGATTATGGGGATAGGGTTGGGGGTGGTTGTGGTGGAACTGGGTTGAATTTTCTTTGGGGGGGTTAGTCCAGACTTGATGGACTGAATGGCCTCTTTCTGCACTGAAGGAATTCAATGATTCAATTTTATGACTATGGAGTATTTTGAATCTACTTGAAATGATTGGTGGAGCCTTGATTTAATGTCCAACAGTGCTGCACACCCTCAGTACTAGATAACAGTCTGGAATGGAGGCTTCTGGTGATTTCCAAAGGAAATTAGGTGGGCATCTGATTCAAGTAAACGAGGAAAGGTTGAGAGAGCTAGGGCTTTTCTCTTTAGAACGACGAAGGATGAGAGGTGACTTGATAGAGGTGTACAAAATGATCAGAGGTATAGATAGAGTGGACAGCCAGAGACTTTTTCCTAGGGTGGAGGTAGCCATTACAAGGGGTCATAGTTTTAAAGTGAGTGGAGGTAGATACAGGGGAGGCGTCAGAGGTAGGTTCTTTACTCAGAGAGTGGTAGGGGCGTGGAATGCATTGCCGGAGAGGGTAGTGGATTCAGCCTCATTAGGGGCATCTAAGCGGCTATTAGATAGGCATAATATAAGGTAGGGGTGGAGGTTAGATAGACCTCAGGATTAGGGTAAAAGGTGGGCAAAACATCGTGGGCCGAAGGGCCTGTACTGTGCTGTACTGTTCGCTGTTCTATGTTCTAAACCTGTAGGGTTTGGAAGGTGGTGGGCACTGGCAGTTAGAATGGGATAATGGAATTAATTGTTTTGTTCTAAATAGAACCAGCATGGATTTATGTTTGTATGAATTAGGAGCAGAAGTGGTCCATTCAGCCTATTGAATCGGCTGTGCTTTCATGGCTGATCTGTTTACAATCAGACAATCTTTAATTCGCTTGCTTAACAAAGAATCTAGCAACCTCCATAATAGTGTTGCCTCCATGGCCTTCTGATACAAAGCTTCAAGTCTCACAAGCCTCTTGAGGGAAACATTTCTCCTTATCTCTGTCCTAAAAGAGCAACCCCTAATTTTAAAACTGTGCTCCCTAATCCGGACTCACCCATATCTACCTTGTGAAGACTGTTCAGGGGTCATCCCTCACTCTTCCACACTCCAGTAAAACAAACCTCAACCTGCCCAACCTTTCCTCCCATGACAATCTGCTCAATCGTATCAATCTAGTAAGATGTCTCTGAGCCAAATTACATCCTTCCAGAAATAAGACCAAGACAGCACTCCTTGTTCATGATTTTACCTCATTAATGCCATATATAACTGAAGCATAACATCCCTGCTGTTAAATTCCTGTTGGAATAAAGCGTAGCTTTCAATTAGCCTTGTTAATTATTTGCTGTATATGCACACTTTTGTAACTTATGCACTAGAACACCTTAATCCCTGTGTATCAGGGAATTCTGCAGTCATTCTCCAGTTAACTAATACTTTGCTTTTTAAATTTTTTTTCCTGCCAAAATTTTCCCACATTATATTCCATCTGCCGGATGTTTACTCACTCACTTTTATGTGACATCTTGTTGAATACAATCCAGAACACTAGGTGCAGTATGTGTAGAGGCTCCCCTTTATCACAGACTTAATAGCCCAAATAGGCTCCTTTTGTACTGCATCAACTGTATGACTCTTAAAAGTGCTACCATTAAATTGTGCCTGACATCTTATTGGTGACAGGACTGGATTACGGATGGATTGTCAAAGTTCAATGGGGACTAACTTCTGGGAGGACAGCAGTGTGCTGTAAATTCTGTCCCTCGTGACCCATTCAGGAAGAATGTGAAGGCTTTGGTGAGCATACAAGAAACATTCACAATGATTCCAGAGATAATGAATTTGAGTTACATGGATAGATTTGAGACATTGGGGTTGGTAACCTACAAGAGGGGAAGTTTGAAAGGATAGTTGATCCTAATCAATGACTACTGACTTAACCAGTCAAGTCTAAAAGGTCATAACTGGTAGATTGGGGTTTGGCAATTGGTGAGGGAATGAGGAAGAGAGAAAAATTTACTTAGCTTCATCTTCACTAATCTACATACCACAGAGCAATCGCCACACGTCCTTCTGGAGACAAAATCCCACCTTCACATTGAGGAAACCCTACATAATGTTATGTGGTACTATCAGCATGCTAAGTGGGACAGATTTTGAACAGATTTACAAACTCAAGACTGGGCATTCATGAGACACTGTGGGTTTGTCATCTCATTCCCATAAGGACAAGGAACCCACCCTGGTTTAATGAAGTATAGGGCATGCCAAGAGCAGTGTCAGGAATTCTTGAAAATGAGATATCAACCTGGTGAAGCTGCAATGCAGGACCACATGCATGCCAGACAACAGAAGCAGTATGCAATAGACAGGGCTAAGTGATCCATCTACAAGGTGCACTGAAGAAATTCACCAATGCTATGGCAACAGTACGTTATAAACCTGTAACATCTAGAATGATAAGGGCAGCAGATGCGTAGGAATGCTGCCACCTATAAGATCTCTCACCCCCCACCATGCTACACATTCTTCTGTTATAATCTCAGCTAATGGTAAAACTAGACAAGTCAGATCCCAGAATCGAAGCTGGCTTGGAAGAAAATGTATTTATTTTTTGAGGTTGATTAATGTGGTAGTTAATCACTAAACCGTATTCACATGAGGCTGCAGATGTTCTTTAACAACTGAATATATCTTTATTACACAAAAAAAACTAACAAAGCTATATCTAGAAGTCACCATAGTCTTAGCAGACCACAGAGCTGCTCTCTCACTAAAGAGACAAGGAGAGAGAGAGAGTGAGAGAGAGAGACATAACAGGTATGGTTTAACCTGAGGGTCATCGCAACTAAGTTAATGGGAGAGGTTGAGATGGACAGTCCTTTGTGGTAACTTCAGTTGGTGTAGGAATTGAACCCATGCTGTTGGCATCACTCTGCATTAAAGACCAACCTTGAAAAACTATACTTATTCTAAGGTTTTGGAGTAGATCTGTAGCTTGGGTTGTGGGTGTTGAGGTTGGTTGGCTCGCCGAGCTGGTTTGTTGTTCCGCAGACGTTTCATTACCGTGCTTGGTAACATCCTCAGTGCAGCCTCTGATGAAGCGTTGGTGTGTTTTCCCGCCTGGTTTTTAAACTCTGTCCTTGTCCATGTGGATTGAGATGAGTGAGTATTGGACAAGGAAAACCACAACTTCAACTGGGACAACACCAAGATCCTGGGACAGGCTAGGCAGAGACAAGCACGAGAATTCCTGGAAGCATGGCACTCCACGAAGCATGCTATTAATAAACACATTGAACTCGACCCCATATACATTCCACTACGGAGGAAACCTGGAAGTGAGGCAATCCATCGCAACGGACCCCAGAGTTTTAAAAACCAGACAGGAAAACACACCGACGCTTCATCAGAGGCTGCACTGAGGATGTTACCAAGCACGGTAATGAACATCTGCGGAACAACAAAGCAGCTTGGTGAGCCAACCAACCTCAAAACTATACCTATGTAGAAGACAGTTAGAAAGACCTGAACAAAAACATCACAGTGAATATTCATACTCTTTCTATTACAGAGACTCAATCCCAGAGAAATATCACTCCCGTCTCAGCTTTTTAGAGCTTTACCTAAGTGACACCTGCCAGTCTCTTGCCTTTGAACTGTTGAGATATTCTTAATGATTCCTTTCTGTGTCTGCTGCCATGAATCTCTCATGGTTCTAATGCCTAAACTTTTCTAGTTCTAACAACTGAATATTTCTATCCAAACTCTCCAGATTTAGAAACTCCACACAAATACATTTGAGCTATGATGACTGGTTCCCCAAAACTGACTTGATTCCCTCTCTGGGAGAAACTGGTCTACATTCTGAACTGATCTTTGGGCTCTTCTGAACTAAATTTTGAACTGTCTTTTCTGAAGTTAAAATTAAACCAGTGGCCATAATGTGTTTACTACGTTTGTCATAATGCCAAGAACAGGCATATGGATGATAGTATAAGGTAGGGGTGGAGGTTAGATAGACCTTAGGTTTAGGGTAAAAGTTTGGCACAACTTCGTGTTCTATGTTCTAATACAAACATCCCCAAGGACTGCACCAGTTCAAGGATGCAGCTCCCCATCACTTTCTCCATCGTGATTTGGAGTGG